CATGAAGGAATCAGGATACCTGCCAATGGGCAGGTAATGATAGTAACAGGAATAGCTATCAGACTACCAGAAGGTACCTATAGGCAGATAGTATCCCGAAGTGGTCTAGTAGTCACACATCGACTCATGACTATGGCAAGTGTGATTGACACTGACTATACAGGTGAAATCAAAGTGGTTTTGGCCAACCTGGCTCAAGAGGACTATGAAGTCCAGAAAGGCGATCGAATCGCACACTTGATTATTGAAAAAATCAACAAAGAGGATCTACACGAAATAGATCAACTGGAAGAAACCACAAGGGGAGTCAAGAGATTTAGAAACACAGATCAAAACCAGCCTAATACAATAAAAAGAATTAAGATCAAGGAGATCACAGCATAAGCCTTCGGACGGTACTATCGAAGTGGAGATACGACAGGAATTCTCAAATGAACATACGAAGACAAAAAAGCGGTCCTAGCAAAAATTGACATCAGCACGAAACTAGCAATCCAAGACAAGAAATACTAAAGCAAAAAAGAATAGAAAGAATTGATTTCAAAAGAATATCATCAGTTCACAAATCTATTCTAAGAAGAGGAAGCTATGGGGCTACCACCCTGAAGACCAGGAATTGACCACGAAATTCAGCTAGACAAAGACGAGAAAACAGGAAAAACAAATGAGATTCCCTACAAGAAGTTATACCTACTAGGAGAAGTGGAGCTCGAAGAACTTAGAAAGTACATCAAGTAAAACTTAAAGTAAGGATGGATCAGAGACTCCATTGCATCAGGAGGATTTCCAATACTATTTGTCAAAAAGAAAGATGGAAAAATGAGACTCTGTGTAGACTATAGAGCTCTCAATTTGGTTACCAAAAAAGATTGATATCCACCACCCTTAATCAGAGAGGCACTGGATAGACTACTGTCAGTAAAATGCTTCACCAAACTGGACATCAAGGACACATACCACAATATACGCATCAAAGTGGCAGACAAATGGAATACTACATTCACCTCAAGATACGGGATGTTTGAATACTTGGTTATGCCTTTTGGACTAACCAATACACCAGCTTCATTCCAAAGATCGATCAACCAGGTACTCAATAAGTATCTCGACATATGTTGCATCGTATACTTAGATGATGTACTCATCTACATGAAAAACATGCAACAATATCAGAAGGATGTCCGCAATAATATGGCGACAATCTAAGGATCAGGAATGAAGATCAAACCAACGAAATGCGAATTCCATAAAGAAGAAACCGAATACCTCGGATGTCTTATCAATCGGAGCGGGGTCAAGGTTGACCCAGTCAAAACAGCAGCAATATGGGATTGAGCCAAACCAAACAACAAAACAGATGTTCAAAGCCCGATAGGATTTTGCAACTTTTATCGAAGGTTCATAGAATGGTTTAGCAGACTTGTAAAACCACTCTATAACCTAACCAAGAAAGACAAGAAATGATAATGGGGAGAAACAGAACAAAAAGCATATGATGCCATCATGACGCATCTGACATCAGCACCAATACTGGTACACTTCAATCCAAACAGAAGAACAATGATTGAAACGGATGTCTCGAAATATGTGTGTTCAGGCAAACTATCGCAACAATGCAAAGACGGAAAATGGAGGCCAGTGTCTTATCGATCCAAGGCAGTGACCCCTGTAGAGTGCAACTACGATATTGCAAACAAAGAACTGTTAGCAATAGTTCAAGCATTAAAGGAATAGAGAAGATACATTCTGAATAACGACTATCCAGTCCAAATTCTAACCGACCACAAGAATCTGGTCCCTTTTATGACTACCAAGGAATTGAATGACAGTCAGATAAGGTAGATGGAACACCTCAGCAAATACAACTTCAAAATTGAATACTGATCAGGCAAAGAGAGCGGGTAGCCAGATGCTTTCACAAGGATTGCAAGCAATAATCCACAAACAAAAAAAGATGAAAGGATCAAACAAAAAACACAAATGTTATTACCAAAAACCTACTTCCAGGCCAATGGAGGTTATCCAATTTACATCAACAGAAGAAAAGGGAATTCAAGAAGGCAAATGAAAGAGAA